CAAGTCTCATCTGGAGTTAAATTTTGCATTCTACTTCATGCTCTTTATTGTTTTCATGTATTCTTATATAAAATAAATGGTTAAAATTGTTTATCAGGTCTTTCCAGTTTCTGTTTCCTTATAACAAACCACCACAAATTCAATGGTATAAAAAGCAATGATCAATGTATTATTCTCTCTCATAATTTTGGGCTTCCTTTGGCCTGGTGTCTGCTAAGCAATGACAGTGACAAGCTAGATCTAGAGTTATTCTAAGGTTGCTCCTTCATGTGTCTGATACTTGAGCTGAGAAGACCCAAACATCTCTCTCTATCTCTGGTCATGGCCTATTCAAGTGGCCAGACGTTTTTGTCCACAAATTTTTATTGGTGCATTATAGTTGTACATAATGGTGGGATTTATTGTTACATATCTGTATATGCACACAATATCACAATAGAATTTGGCCAGTATCATTCTCCAGTATTTTCCCTTTGCCTCTTCTCCTTCTTCCTACTGCTTCCTTTGCTCTACTCTACTCATCACCCTTCAGTTTTCATGAGATCCCCCACCCATCCTTCTTTTTCTTTTTCCTTTGTAGTTTCCACATGTGAGAGAAAGAATACTGACTTCTTATGTGACAACTCAAGACTCCAGAGGCCTATGTGCTGATGGTGTGCCAGATGAAAGCTGAAGTCCCTTTTATGGCCGAGCTTTAGAAGTCACACTATGTCACTTTACTGTTCTCTCTTAGTTGGGGCACCCTTACCCCATTTCAAGAAAGGAGATGATGGCAGAGAGACTAAGTTCTGGAAGATAATTTTAGATGAAAATGTTGTTAAGTCCATTTTTGGAAAATAAGCCTTCCTAACTGTCTTTGTTAATAAGTGACGCATGGTTGTATTCAAGTATCATTTTCAGAAAGCTGGGCTAAATTCAAGCAGGCTGACATCTCACATCTGGTTCTGCATCCTGGAGGAGAATTTTTCTCTCTTCTATTTTCTTGTCATAATATTTTGAAAGTTGACAAACTTTTGAATCATTGAACAAAATCACTGCTTTATAAAGACTTCATAATTATCTTGAGGTTTCAGTTAACCCCTGAAGATACCCAAGTTTGAACTTTTACAACCTGAATAACCTCTGTATTTTGTTTTTCAAAAGAATGACAATTTGTATTGTTCACTCAGAAGAATGCTTATAAAGTGTTATTTCTCTTTGGCATTATGCAGGCAGAAATTAGAGCTGAGGACAACGGAAGCAGGCCCAAGACTCAAACCTGGAAAGCAGGTTGCAGCAGTAATTAAAGCAGTTGATTCAAAATACACAGCTATTCCTATTGTGGGGCAGGTCTTCCAGAGCGAATGTAAAAGATGCCCTTCTGTAAGTATGAAAAAATTGAGGGCTAATAGTGGCTTAAGATTCTGTTTTCCTTTTCTCTCTATTGGAAGCATCAGCTAATTTTATGAAGAAAGTTTCTAAAGAACTACCAGCCACCACAAAGTGAGGGTGATGTAGCCTGAACGACACAATCCTGGGATGGTGCGTGATATAACAATAATGAAGAAATAATTACTACTTGCTTAACAAAACATGTTATGACTTAAGGACAGCGTTTTGAAAATCAAACCTGGAATTTAGGTTATGGGAGGGAAGACTTAATGAAGCTGGGGGAAATAAATGTTCTCAAGAACATAGGCAAGTGTTTGAATTTTGTAAGGGCAGAATTGTATATAGGTTTTTTCAGATGTAAGGTACTTTATTGATCCTAATGTTCTAAGTATTGTTGTTCAGGATTAAGGAGGATTCCAAATTCTCTGCCTGAATTAGGGTACGTGTCTCTACCATACTTCAGTGTCTTCTATGACTACAGCCACAAAGGGGATATTCTTTCTCAAAGGCAAACTATAGATCATCTTGTAAGATTTTCAGTGTAACAAAGAGAAACTTCATTGATTGCATGAATCAGTTGTGCTGTATGGTCATAGAAATGACTTTAAGGCTCTGCGTTTCCTAATATTTAACTACTTGTCTGGAGCAAACCTTGGCTGCAAGTTCTATGTGTAGCTACTATACAGAGCTCCTTCCTCAAATATTACTGATGTTCAGAAAAATGCAGTCATCAGAAAATAATACCACAATTTGTTTAAAGGACAACAGTCTGATACCTGATTAGTTTATAAAATTTAGTAAATTGGATTAGAGGAAAATTGAAACATTTTGAAACATGACATTGTAATTTTCAAACCCTATTTCTTCTTTTATTTGTTTTCCTTCCACAGCCATTTAATTTTCCAATGTCTTATGAGATAAAAATTATTTAAGGGAATGACTAAAGAAAGGAATCATATTTTCTTATGTTGTGAACTATTAGTCCCCCACCACAGTTATTAAACATTATGAACCGTTTAAGATTATTTATTGCAGAAAGTGTTTATGTTATTGAGGACTTTGCTTTTCAAACTTCAGTATGATGTTGCTACAGCAACTTTCTAAAGAAAAAAATCTAAGTTCATGTAGATGTGCTCTTTAGCTTCAGAAACAACCTCATAGATATGAAGTTAAATATAGCTAGAATTTTGCATTGGAATATCCTCTTTGGATGAGATAGCTAAAAGAGATTTGCAAAAGAGAAAAATAAGTGTCTATTGCTTATAAGAAGGGATGAATAATTTAAAAACCAGGAGAATGGTGATTATCACAGAGTTAGAAATTTAGAGGTCACTGATGCAATTTAACATATTCTGTACAGCTAGGTGAAAAGTGGTCAAGTACGAAAAATAAGTTCTTTAGTTTTTCTCCAAGCCAGAAAATGTCATCAATTAGAATTATTTACTATTTAAATGTCATCAATTAGAATTATGTTTTAAAACCAAAGTAGAATAATTGCAGTGTGTGTGTGAGAGAGAATTGCCTTTATGTATATACTACTCTACTAAACATAGATATAAGTTCAGATCTCAGTAACAGTAAAACATTAAATTTCATACAAACAATACTATAAAAAGAGTATGAAACCAAACTATTGAAAAAAGTGCCATCCAGTGAGGGGCAAATGAATCAGAAACCTGTTACAATACTTCAGCAGTTCTGATTTTTTTTTCCTTACAAAATATCTTGCTGTTAATTAAAATTCTGCACAATTTCCCTAGGGCAGTCAAAGTCTGGTCTCTGATATAATTCCCTTAGTATAGCCATGGGATGACCATATGCCCCGGCACAAGTGATTTATTTCCCAAGGTCCTTCAAATTTATTACTAATAGACAAAAATGATCCTCCTAAGAGGAATGGCACTCAGGGTTAGCATGCCTCTCAATTTGCCTCTGGCCTTCAGGAGTGGTGTGATATGGGCAGGGAGACAAGAACCATACTGAGCAAAGATACAAAAAGCATCTTCTGCTTGTCAGATACAAGTAAAATTTTATTTCTGGGGAGAACAGCCTTTGTAAATGTGGATGCTCAGATCTATGAGCAGGACATGAGCCTGTGGCTATGTTTTGTAGCTGTCAGAACACTGGCAGTCCATCAGGAAACACCTGGAGCCTGACAACCTCTCCAATGCTGAAGCTGTCAGAAACTTCCTGGCCTTTGTGCAGCACCTCAGGACTGCAAAGAGAGAAGACATCCTCCAAATTCTGAAGACTGAAAAGAAAGAAGTACTGTAAGTTCCCCAAACTTACAGTGGGTTGATCTGTCAGGAAACTCTGCTGAGTTACCATTTTTATCAATCAAGAAAGACTCCTTCTAAATCAATTGCCCCACTTCCAAATCAATTATTCTGTTTTTCTACATTTTTATCCAACAATTATATATGCCATAATGTAATGACTTAATGGTCACTGGACCAAAAATCCAAGAACAAATTTTAAGAGTGACTCAAGATGCACATATTTTAAATTAGAGTTAGATTGGCGCATAAGAGAGGTAAAGCTAGGGCTTCATCAGGACCCCCTGGCACATGGGTGCCTTGCTGTTTTTGCAATTGTGTTCTCAAGCTATTAATTTATGTTTGAAAAGATTTCAGAGTTGACTGAAACAAACAAGAATGGTACGACTTTTCCATTGCACATGTGATTTCATTAAAGATCTAACTGATGTCTCATTTTATACAGAAAATTGAGAACTGTCGTAAGTAACCAAAAGAATCTAGAGAAAAGAAATTCACACATTTTGCAATATTTGGTGAAAGAGTGATTCATTAACATGTGTAAAAAAGAAAGTAGACTCTATTTAACATAATCAAAAATGGAAATTGGCCAAGTTACACACACAAACACACACACACACACACACACACACACACACACACACACACACACACACACACACGGCAGCCGCCGCCCCCACAGCAGCTGTCAGAGTTCAAAGGACTCAAACAATCAAGAAGAGAATTCTGTTTTTGATCTGAAAAGTCTGTTTATTCTTGATCATATTTATTATTTACTTCCCTTGAGGATATTAAAAAATAGAAAAAATATCAATTTGATGAATCACCCCTTTTATATATTACTGGTATAGAGAAGAATTTGAGCTTAATTTATAATATTATTTATATAATTTTAATTTTACAAATGTTCAAATTATTCTTGACTTAGGTTAATATAGTAAAATTAGCTTGTATATTCTATGTATGTATTGTTTAAATGAGAAAAAGAAGACTTAAGGGAGCAATTTAAATAAAATGGGAAGGGGATCTTTTTGAGAAGAATTTTTTGTTGTTGTTCAAATAAAAATATTTCACTTCTTCAAGAAATTCAAATCAGTGGAGAGTCTGTGAGTGGTCGATGTTTTTAATAATTCCTTAAGCACCTGAAGCACTGATATGTGTGACGATGCCTTTTTCATAGACCTCAGCTGGTGGATGCTGTCACCTCTGCTCAGACTCCAGCCTCATTAGAAGCCATTTTGGACTTTTTGGATTTCAAGAGTGACAGTAGCATTGTCCTCCAGGAGAGGTTTCTCTACGCCTGTGGATTTGCCTCCCATCCTGATGAGGAACTCCTGAGAACACTCATTGTAAGTCAAGTAGACTCAGGGAAAATAAAGACTCTCAGCAGCTAAAAGCAAAAAACAAACTGAAAACCTGCAAGAATATAAGCAGTAATTAAAAGTTGTTCAGATCAGAATGAAGACTACAAACTGTGAATACCTTCTGAGTATTTCACATTCAGACTTCACTGGACTATTTCTATCCATGGATCTTTGACTGCACAGTAAATATTTCACTTAGTGTCTTTACAGTCTCACTAGTTAGCATAAACGATACATTATGGAAACTTAAAGACTCACTTCTCATATGTGGGAAATGATGACATTTTAGAAGGGAAAAGTCTAGGTTATGCTTTAATAAGCAACTTAAAATTTCCTTTGAGTTAAAAATCTTTATGGTATTTATACAGATACTTTGAGGAGATACAATTATTCTCTTATTTAAATTTTTATATTCAGTGCAGACCCAACTTCTCTTGAGTCTAAGATTTTTTTTTAGAAAATTATACTTATCCACTTATGATCTAGTGGAACAGTCTGTAATCTTTTTGGAAAACAAGCCTACTTGAGAATCTGGCAAAAAACAATGAATCCCAACTTCATTCATATTTAAATTTTAAAAACTTTTTGTGGTTCACTGACTAACCTGATGAACCCAATCCATAAACCCTTGAATAAGAGTTTAAAGGCCGTGGTTAGGAATACCAGGACAGGGCCCATGCTTTTAACTCTTCATTCAAAACTAGATAGTGAATTTCTAAATGTTTCAAAAACAACCTTCTGAGTTTGGTATCCAGGAACATGAAAATATTTTACTCAAGTTATTGGTTACTTTATTCCTAAAAGTGTCCCTCTGAAATATTTAAATGTCTTAATGGCCTCTTTTATCCCTATTAATAGAGTAAGTTCAAAGGTTCCTTTGCAAGCAATGACATCAGAGAAACTGTTATGATCATCATTGGAGCCCTTGTCAAGAAGCTGTGCCAGAATGAAGGCTGCAAACTCAAAGTAAGTGCGAATCAGTGATGCCCGCCATCACCCATACCACCATACTTGATATTCACCTTGCTGCCCACCCATAGCATTCCTAATCCTCCCTCACTCTACTAATTTTCCTTTTCGTATACAATTATTGCCATCTAACATACTTGGAAATTCAGTTGTTTATTATATCTATTGTTATTTCTGTATACTCCATGCAGAAATGGATCTTTGTTTCCTTCAGAACCAGTATCCTAAAATAGTGCTTGGTGGATAGATAATGATCAATAAATATTTGCTAGAAAGGGAATAGTCCTTTGATATTCCTACCAAATATGTTTGTTGAGCACCCATTAAGTATTCCAGTTTGTTTGGTCATTGTTTTATTCTCAAATGACAAATTTTGATAATTGTATATATTTTGGGGGTCAAGTGTGATGTTTTGATACATCTATATCTTGGGAGACATGATCAAATTAATATATCCATCACCTCAAGTACTTATCATTTCTTTGTGGTACAAAAATTTAAAGACCATTCTTCTAGGTATTTTGAAATATACAACACAATATTATTAATTATAGTTACCAGGCTGAATGATCCCCAGAATCTCTTCCTCCTATCTGACACTATGTATCCTTGACCAATATCTTCCATTTCCTAATTCCCCCTCTCTTGTCTTACTTTGGTTAGCTTTTGGCAATCACCATCCTTTCTCCATATTCTTGTGTAAGTTTGACTTTTTTAGATTCCATGTGCAAATGAAATCATGTGGGTATTTATCTCCCTGTGCCTGGTTTATTTCACTCAGCATGGTGTCCTCCAGG